GCTTTTTATGCAGTTTTTGCAAAGCTATATGTGGAAGGAAACCGTGACCTAGGACAAGCTGATGGCATAACATGTGAGTACAACTCCTCCGGTTTCATATGCAAAAAAAATTATTGCGCTTATTATTATTATTATTATTATTACTAATTATTACGTGTTTCCAGTTCCACAGGGATTTAAAAATAGTTACGCAAAATGGAGCGTGCCCGCTCCGACCAGTTTTAAAGGGTTAAAAATACAGTTAAAACCCCCCAAAAGTATGCCTTCCTTCATATATTTTATAGTCGTGTGGTGGACCAGATCTGAGTCTTTGCGGGGCCGATTCTGGTCCCGGGGCCCTATGTTTGACACCCCTGAGTTAGGCCTTTCTGCTTCTCAGTTTGTAATGAACCTTCACTGGTCACTGGTCCACTCTCTCACTTAATGTGAACAATTGGAATTGGGTAGATATTCAAAAGCTATGAAGTTAAAGATCAAATATTTTTCTTGACATTTAAATGAAGTTTAGTTTGTTGTTTTCAGCTTACAGTTAAAAAAAAAAGCAGCTTAATTTTTTATTAGCTTGTCATGGCTGCAGGTTGTTAATCTTAACAGTTAGTAGCCTTGAGCTCCTTTTAGACTCCAACATTGATCACAGACTAAATTTGTGCAATGTCAGCGGAAGAGCTTAAGGGGAAAATGACTCTTAACTGTTCTGTCTGTATAAATCATTAAATCAAATTATCCTCACTATGGAAGGGAGTTTTTCCTTCCTGCTGTCTCCAAGTGTTTGTTCGTAGGGGGTCATTGGATTGTTGGGTTTTTCTCTACATTATTGTGGGGTCTTTACCCAAACATATAAAGCTCCTGTGGGAACTGTTGTTCTATATAAATAGAATTAAACTGATTGAAGGTAAAACAGAACTTTTAAGCCACAATTAGCAGTGATGTGCATTTAAACCCATCATGCTTTGGGCTTGTGTCGCAGCCAGCGGCAAAAGAAATATTTCACCATTAGAGGCAAGAATGCATTAAATTAAAGGTCAGCAGATCCTTGAAGCAGACATCAGTGTGTCATAAATCAGAAGCTGGAAAACCCTCCAAATCCACAGCGGACTACCTCAGGAGGTTTTTCCATGGTTTATTTCCATGGTTGCTAATGTTCAAGCACACAGAAATCAGATCTCTCAAATAAGCTCAGTGAGATAGACCCCAAAAGTCTCAAGGAGGTAGGAACATACTGGATGAATAACACATGAAAATTCAAAAACATTAAGGCCATGATGTCTGCCAAAGAGGCTGTTAGTAAGTACGAAAGCAAGTTGCCCAAACCTTCTTTCAACCTTTGCCTTAACAACTTAAGTTATTGTTGTTTAGAAACTGTAAAGTATCTAAACTTAAAAAAAACAGTTGCTTTATAGTATTAAACAAATGTGTTGTCTTTAAAGTTCTTCCAGGCTTATGGACTATAAATGCTTAAAAACCTTCACATCAAGACGAGGCGTGAAACCTTAAGGAGTTCCTAAAATGTCTTTTCTACACCGAAGATACTGTTGTCATTCAGAGCAACAACAAAGTGAAAATCTAAAAACTGAAACGATTTCAGTAGAAAGTCAAAGCCTGACCTTTGATTTGGGTCTCAGGGACAACATGGGTTTCCCGGTGGTCGAATGTTCCAGCGACGGCTCCTTCGTTCTCTCCAAACCGCCCAAAACCGGCGGCCTCGTTTCCTTCGGCACTGTCGCCGAGCAACTGGTATACGAGATCGGAGACCCACGGCGATACCTGCTGCCAGACGTCATCTGCGACTTCAGCCAGGTGGTGATCCAGGAGGTACCAGGTACTGCACGCAAACACAACCTCACACATACCGTTGAGGACATGACCGGCAGCTGAACTTTTGACTGTTTTCATAACCCTCAAGAACTCCTCAAACAAACCCATCTGGAGCTTTGACTCGACCCTTGATTGAACCCAACACCCTCCGCTGAACCTCCAATAAACTGTTCGTCAGCTCATCATTAGCAAATTATTCTCCTTAATATCAATCAACCCAGAGTGAACCCATCTCGAGCTGTGCTACAGTGTCTAACCTTCGGGTGAACTCCAGAACCATTGCCTGAACTCCCACTGAACTCTGCTTCTCTGATAAAAACCTCCGCTTTGCCCGATTTGAGTAATTAAATTTTTTCCATTTTGATTTTATTTGACAGAAAACACTGATGTGCCCAAATTTGGAGGATTTCTTTTACACTCCTACTCCTCTGCTTGAATAACTAACTACAATCATGTACACTGTGTACGTGTGAAGAAAATCTTGAATATTTCACACAAGTTCAAAAACATAACTCAACATAACTCAGTTTTGGGATGTAGGAGACAGTGAAAGTTTAGTTGTGAACAGATAACTTATATTTGTATTGTTTTTATGCATAAAAACACCCAAAACATGGACTGTTTGACATACTACTTTTTTCTCCTAGTCATAACTGATCTCATAGACACATTCTGTGGATACCAGCACAGATAAACATCCATAAATCCAACTAAGATTAAGGGAAAAAAATACAGTTCAGAACTTGCCTGGAAATTTCCATGTTTTTACATCTTCTTCAGTATTAAAGCAATTCAGTGAGAGTTTTCTTTCCTTGTATGCTTTTACGTCAGTGTTTGTGAGCAGCAGTTCTCCATCCAACTTGCTGAGACTGAACCTGGTCCTTATAGATGTGGTTATATAAAGAAAAAACTGATTTTTCAATCTTTTTTATTTTTTTTTTACCTAGTCTAATCTTGGCACATCTCAGCTTGGTGTGTATTTTGTCCTTAAACACTCAGGAAGCTGGAGAAGTGGAAGTCAAAACAGATAAACAGTATCTAAAAATAATGACTTGAAGAAAAACGAACAGAAAACAGACCTGAGAGATGGGGCTGGCCCTTTAGTATCTTAAGTTTCCCGTATTAGAGCACTATCAGTCATAGGTTGGCCTCCAGAGAGCCCGGACATCACCATTATTAAAGTGGTGTGGGATCATCTTGACAGAGAACTGAAGAAAAGGCAGCCAACAAAGAAGAAGAGCTCTGATTGGTCTTCAACAAGCCTGGAGACTATTTCAATCTTACGAATTTACAACAAAGCTTGTCTAAGACATTTCAGGTTGTGCTGACGAATAAATCAAGTCATTCTAAATATTGACTTTCAAGTTTGTTATAATTGTGCACATGTTCCAGGTGTATTTGCACATGTTGTGATAAATTGCTGCATCTTTTTCCCATTTCACAAAAAGTGAGGGATGTTATTTGAAAAAATATTGACCTATCAGCAACAAACTGCTGCGTGAAGTCGTCTTGTTTCCCCATTTCTTCAATATCTGAGGCTTTAAAGTGACTAGAAAAATGTAGGTGATCACAGTCAAGATGGAGACCATAGTTAATGAGAGGTGTATAACATTTTGACCATGATTAAGAAACTTAATTAAGAAACTTTTTTGCTTTTAAACGAATTAACAAGGAGAGCTTGAGCTGAGGTTATGAGTACTCCATCTGGTTACTCTGGTTGTAGTTTTCTGTGTCAATGCACATTTCGCTAAAAGTAAAGTTTAAGTACAGAAAACCCGTTGTCTATTTTTTCTGTTTTTCTGTTTTATCACTTGGAGGAAGTGGTGACATACCAAATACGACATGGGAATTTTAGAGAAGTGTCAGATGAGGTCAGTAAGGTTAAATAGCTGGATGCAATGTTGTGCTTCCTATTTGCATCATGAAAACTTTATTTACAGTCGCTGGAACAAATAAACGGTAAAGGGAGCACTAAAATCTATGAATATGAACTTATTCAATATTTTTTTCTTCATTTATTGGAAATCAAATTTATAGTTTCCAATTTTATCAAACTGCTTTCTTTTTCCCTGTAATTATTCCATATATTTCTGTAAAATCCCAATGAATGGGATTCCTGAACTGAGAGGAAAGTCTGCTGTAATGCATACTTGGTTCAGATGTGTGGTAGCAGTAAGTGGATCAGCTCCTGCACAGAGTGTCCCACTTTCAGAGGGGGAAATGAACTTTTGGCTCTCACTGTTGCTAAAAATGTAAATATTTCAGTCTAATTGAGCTCCGGCTGAACTCCCGAGAGCCGTTTGACCACTCGAAGACCCGCTGCCCTCATTGGCTGTTTATTTTCTAACATGAAGGAGTCAGAAGAGTTGACCGCTGGTAAGTCTGCAGTCCGGTTCAAACAGGGGTGAACAAAGTGCTGCGTGATGTTTTCAGTGTACAGAGGGAGATATGAGGAGGTGAAGGACGGCGTTGAAAGATGGGGGATGAGAGGCAGAAGCGTCTCCCTCCTGTCTGTATATTTAAGTTCAGCGAGGTCAATGAACTATTTAATAAAACACAAAGCAGCTTAAAGGTCAAGCATGAAAAAACTACGAAGTAACTGGAAAACATTAAAGGAAACCCTTGAAAACACATCAACTCTCACTGAGATAAGGAACATCTATACTGGGAAATGTGTCAGGAAAGAAGAGATGCCACATCAACGATCTGATGAAAATGATCAAACTACAGGGGCCTGAATTTAAGGGCACCTTGGAAATCAAAGTAAGATAATGTGGCAGCTTAGCCCATTTGGCCAGAGTTGTTTTTCATTGCAACAACTCAAAATGGTATTCAGTAGTTTGATGGCCCCCCTGTGCAGGCAGTTCCTTCGTCCTTCAGGAACTGCCTGCATACCCTCGCCACATGAGACTTTTGTCTGGAGGAACCCAAGACTCAGTGCACCAGTGTGCCAGTGTAGGGTCTGACAGTGGGTCCGGGGATTTAAGCCTGATAGCTAATGGCAATCAGGGTGCCGTTGCCTAGCCTGTAGATGTCTGTGTGTCTCCATGCAGGCCATCAATGACCCAACACCAAACCTGTCATCCTGAATGATGTTACAGGCAGCATAGCAACCTCCATGATTTCTCCAGAGCCTCTCCCTTCTGTCACATGTGCTCAGGGTGAACCTGCTCTCTGTGGAAAGCACAGGAGGCCATTGATGGACAATTCTGGTATTCTATGGCAAATGCCAACCTTGCTCCACAATGTTGGACACTGAGTATCAGGCAAACTAAAGGATGTCAGGTTCTCAGGCAACACTCATGAAGTTTGTTTCTGGTTGTTTAGTCAGAGACATTCACACCAGTGTCCTTCTGGAAGTCACTTTGTTGCTCTGTTCCTCAAAGCAGCAGATACCAGTTCCCTGAATGGGTTAAGGGCCTCCTATGGCACTCTCCAGCTCTCCTAGAGTAAATGCTTTTCTCCTGAATTCTCCTCCGTGATCTTAAGACTATGCTGAGAGAAATTCTAAAATGTTTTTTTTTTTATTTAAAAAAAGCATGTAAAACAGTTGTGAAAATATGGGAAATAATAGTAAGCAACTAGAATAGAAAGAATGTACAAATTTAAAATGAAACTACATTTAATTTAATAATCTACAAAGTTTTTTTTATAAACAATTTAGATTTTTAAATGAGATTAATAAAAAATAAATAAAAATTAAACAAACTAAAATTAAATTACATGAAATTAAAAGATTGATAAAATTTTAATATAATGCAATAAAATAAAAATATGCAATAAATAATTTAAACAAAAATACAATAAATTAAAATGATAAAAGTAAGAACAATCTGAAACAAAAAAAGAATTTTTAATTAAGAAATGTTTGTAAATGTATGTTTTTCTTAGTTATGTAAAAATTAAATCTTCAATTTTCCAATCAACTTTAATACCATTAAAGTAATTACATTGTTTTATTAACACATGACATTTTGATGTTGTGAAGTTGTTTTTGTTTGTGTTTTCAGGTGATGAGGGGGGAGCTGTCAGAGTAACTGGGGCGCAGGGCTTCGCCCCGTCACATGACTACAAGGTTAAAAAAAAACTGTATTTGATTCTTATTTTGATATAATATGTCGATAACGTGGAATATCGAGTGCCACACAGGTCAACTTTTTAAATAATATTCTACTGTAATTTAGAGTTTGTGTCCTGTCACCTTCACCATCCTCCTTACAGGTTTGTGCAACTTACATGGACGGGTTCAGGGCGACCGCCGTGTGTCCGGTCACGGGGCCGAGAGCAGCGAAGAAGGCCAGAAGAACGGCAGAGAGCATCATCAAACGGTGGGAACAGGAATCACAGCTCAGTGTACTCTGAACTGTGTGGATTTAAACATTAACTGCTGTGTGTGTGTGTGTGTGTGTGTGTGGTTAGGACAAAGAAGATGTTTAAACAGTTGGGACTGGAAGATTTCAGCTCGGTTAACATCCAGGTCCTTGGAGCTGAAGACACATACGGTGCCAATGCTCGCTATAAGGTAAGACTAAAAAAATGCCAAAAGCTGCAGTTCCTCGAATGTCCACTTGAGGCTCCAACAGCGGGTCAGTCTCCATCACTCTCATGTTAACTTGACACATTTTTTAAAAAATATTTTAAAAATGAAATAAAAATATCTTAGATCAGCGGTCCCAAACCTTTTTTGCGCCCCGGACCAGTTTACCTTCCACAATATTTTCACGGCCCGGCCTTTAAGATACAACAAAATAAAACCAGTACTGGTACCAAAAAAAGAAGATTAATTCATAAAATACAGGAAAAGACCCAGGGAAATGGAGTTAACCATAGAAACGATAAAAAAATAACAATAAAAACTGATAAAAACCGGGAAAACCATAAATTTCACACCTGAGCCTCAACTCTCGCGGCCTGGTACCAAACGACTCACAGACCGGGCGCGGGTGTTGGGGACCACTGTTTTAGATAAATAAAACATAGACTTAATAAGACATAACAGGAAAAAAAATTAGATAGAATATGTCATTTTTTCTTTAACACAGTGTTAAAGAAGGCCTGCTCAATCCACCACATCATGAAACATCAGTCACAGTAGAAATACAGATGAACCCCCCCAGGATAAGTTAGACAAACGAAACACACACGCACATACATACAACCGTCCCAGCACTTTATCGATGAAGCATTAAGTGAATCACACCATGGTAAAAACACTTAGTGTGGCTGTGTCCTTGCTTTATATTCAAAGCTCTGCCCTGTCAGCTGACTTTTAGTTTTTCATAAAATTAAATAATGAGATGAAGATTCTCTGCAGGAAACAGGAACCTTGTATTCTATACAAAGCAGTAGAAACTGGATGAGAACAGAAACCCCTCAGAGTTGTAGTGTACATAGCTCAGAGTGGACTCGGCAGACATGCGTGCCTCTGTTAAGATCTCACATAAGAACAGAAGCTGAACAAGCTGCTGGACGTCTTCTCTGTTTCTTTTGGTACAACCCCCCTCATTTTTTTTTTTAGTGTTTACTGATCAATGGATTTACTTCATCTTAGTTTTCCTTCTTTTGTTTCTCTGCATCCTTTCCCTTCCTAAGGGTTAAGGGTCACAGCTAAGCTTGTGTCAAGTCTCTAAATGCCCCCTTCTATCACCCGCCTTCATCTTGACACAAACCCGCTGTTCTACATCCAACCTTCACATCTCCTTTACCACAAGTAGGTGAAGGGTCGCAGTAAAGCCTGTTTCATGCCTCTTATTTTGACTCCTTTCACCACTTTCACCTCTCAGACTATCTCCATTGATCATTAAATTTACGTTTCCTGTCTTTTTTCAGGACTCCCGGGAGGCTGTGATCTGGTTGGCCGTCCACCACAAACAGAAGAAAGCTCTGGAGCTTTTCTCCAGAGAAGTGGCTCCTGCGGGGACCGGCATGGGTACGACTAACCCCGTTATCTCCTCTTTAAACTCT